AAAAAAAAAAAAAAAACTACTATGTTTACAAAGACAATGTGTAGAAAGCTAGGTTTTGAGAAGAGGTGGTACTTGGTAGAACCTATGGGATTGAAGGGGGGATTACTGATGATGTGGGACACCTCAATGGAAGTTAGAGAACTGTGGGGGAATGAATTTTGTATCCAAGCTGAAGTGAAAATTGAGGGGAGCAGGGAGTGGACTTGGTTGATTTTTGTGTATCTGAGTTGTGATAAAAATACAAGACACACTCAATGGAAGTATCTTGAGGATTGCAGAAAACAGTGGGGAACATGTTGGGCTATTTTTGGGGACTGGAATGCTATTACCAGTAATGAAGAGGAAAGAGGAGGGGTTAAGAGGCCTGAATCCAACTTTGTTGCCTTCAGAAATTTCATTCTGGCCATGGAGATGATTGAAGTAGATCATAGAGGGGCTTTCTTTACATGGGGGAACAACAGGTTGAAGGAAGGATATGTTGAGGAGAGGCTTGATAAACTCTTTGTATCTCATGACTGGATGCTAAAATTCTCTAAGATGGAAGCATCAAATTTCTATAGAAGCTCATCTGATCATAATGTCATTCTGTTTGACACTGAGGTGGAAAAGGAAAGGCCCAATAAGAGATTCTTTTTTTTACCCAAGTTGGACAAAGAATGAGAGAGTGTGTGAGGCAGTTGCAGCCGGTTGGGAGATCTGTGTGGAGGGCTCTCAGATGTATGTGGTCCATAAGAAGGTGAAAAATACTAGACTTGCTCTTCTTAACTGGTCTAGACCAATCAAGAGGAATAATGAGAAGTTTATTCAGGGGCTCACAAGATAGAGATAGTGGGAAATTTGCCTTATCTCTTCTCATGAATAAGTCCTGAATCTATTCATTAGCGGTTTTGATTGGTGTCCGCTCCTGTCAAATAAAGTAGATAGAGAGCCTTCTTTATTATCATTACTCGGATCTACTAATGATTCACCTCAATTACATAAATTAGAGGAGATGAGAGAAGAAAATGGCTCTGTGGAATGGAGAGAATGGGAACATGTAAAGTTTGATCTGGATGGGGCTCATAAAGAGGAAGAGATGTACTGGAGATTGAAATCGAGGGCCCTTTGGCTCAAGGGAGGTGACAGCAATACTAAATATTTTCATGCCTTTGCTGCTCAAAGAAGAAAGAGAAATTCCATCAACTCCCTGGTCTCTAGTTCTGGAGTTATTCATGAGTCGAAGGAGGCAATCAAGAGTCACATTACAGGGAATGAGGCAATCAAGAGTCACATTACAGACTTCTACTGTAAGCTATTTGAATCAGAGGGAGTTATGGAAGGTGAAGAGCTACTTCAGAACATCAAATGTTCTTATATCTGAGGAGATGAACACAAATCTTGTCAAAAGAGTGGAGGATGAGAAAATTAAAGCTGCATTATTTAGCATGTCCCCGGATAAGGCTCCAAGTGAAGATGGCATGTCAACCTATTTTTTTCAACACTTTTGGGAGATAATCAAAGGTGACATTTGTTGTGCTATTAAATGTTTATTTTCTCGTGGGAAATTATTAAATAACTGGAATCACACGGTTATAACTCTTATCCCTAAATGCCTGTTTCCTGAATCTTTGAGCAACTACAGGCCCATAAGTCTGTGTGGGGTCCTTTACAAAATTGTGGCTAAAATCATTGCTGAGAGGCTTAAAATCTGCTTGAATGTATGTGTGAGCTTTTCTCAAACTGCTTTTGTACCTGGCTATAGACATAGACATAGAATTGGTCCTCATGTTTTCATGGCTATAAAACTCGATATGGAGAAGGCATACGATAGAATTGAATAGGAATGTGTTAGGAAAACTATGGCTAAGATGGGGTTCCATGCTAAGTTTATCAAGTGGATATATAGTTGTATATCTTCCTCAACCTTCTCATTTAATCTGAATGGAGAGAGTTGTGGTTTTGTGCCCCCTTCTAGAGGACTCAGGCAGGGTGACCCCCTATCACCCTAACTCTTTATCCTGATTTCTGAATTGTTTTCTTCAATGCTAAATGCTAAAATGGATGGTGGTCAATTTCAGGGAGTTAGAGTGTCTAAAAATGGCCCTATGTTATCACACTTATTGTTTGTAGATGACTCATTAGTGTTTTGCAAAGATCATGTATATCATGCTAAGCTCCTTCTGGGCATTATGCTTAAATATCAAGAATTTGCTGGCCAAAAGGTGAATCTGAATAAATCTTCTCTGTTTTTTAGCAAAAACTGTAATGAAGATCAGAAAGTCCAAATCTGCTCTATGGTAAGATGGGTGGTTGTTAAAAGATCTTCCAGATACCTAGGGTTACCTCTTGGGATAGGAGCCTCTAAAGCTGAGGCCTTTCATTTTGTTGTGGAAACAGTCAAAGATAGAATTGAGAGTTGGAAGAATAAATTTCTTTCCACTGTAGGGAGGGAGGTTTTGGTGAAAGCTGTGTTGAATGCATTGCCAATATTTGTTATGTCTTGCTTTGTGTTACCCTAAAGCTTATGTAAAGAGATATGTAGGATGATGGCCAGATTCTGGTGGAGCAAGAAGGATGTTCAGAACAAAGGTATGCACTGGGTGGCTTGGGATAAACTCTCTATCCCTAAGCATGAGGGACTAAAACAGCTATGGAGAATTATTCAGCATCCTGACCTTTTGGTGTGCAAGGTCCTGAAGCACAAGTACTTATCATCTCATTCTTTATTTGAATGCCAGAAGTCAAAGGGTGCATCTTGGTTATGGAATTCCTGGGTTACTTTCATTTCTATTCTCCAAGCTCATGCTAGCATCATCATCAGAAATAGGGTTAACACTAAAATCAGTGGCTGCAATTGGGTTCCAGGCATCAGAGGTGGTAAGCCAAAGCTGAGAGTTCAAGTGGAAGGGCAGTTGTTCAATGTAAATGATCTTCTGCTAGCTGTTGGATGTGAATGGG